AGGCCAGGTCATCTGACGCAGCACTCCATCACTTTCATTCTTAGTCAAATAGCCCTCACATAGCCTGGAGGTGTGTTTGGGGTCATTGTGTGTTGAAAAACAAATGATGGTCCCAGTAATCCCAAACCAGATGGGATGGCATGGCGCTGCAGAATGCTGTGGTAGCCATGCTGGTTAAGTGTGCCTTGAATTCTGAATAAATCACCAACAGTGACACCAGCAAAGCCCCCCCCCCCCCCCACCATCACACTTCCTCCTCCATGCTTCACGGTGGGAACCACACATGCAGAAACCATCCGCTCACCTTCTCTGCGTCTCACAAAGACACCGCGGTTGGGACCAAAAATCTCAAATGTGGACTCATCAGACCAAAGTACAGATTTCCACTGTCTAATGTCCAATCTTTGTGTTTCTTGGCCCAAACAATTCTCTTCTTCTTGTTGTTCATCCTCAGTAGGTGGATCTTTGCAGCAGTTGGACCATGAAGGCCAGATTCACGCAGTCTCCTCTGAACAGTGGATGTTGAGATTTGTCTGCTCCTTGAGCTCTGTGATCATTTATGTGGGCTCTAATCTGAGGTGCTTTTAATTTGTAGTTTCTGAGGCTGGTAACTCTGATGTGTTTATCCTCTGCAGCAGAGGTAACCCTAACTCTAGGGGGTCCTCATGAGAGCCACTTTCATCATAGAGTTCAATGGTTTCTGTGACTGCACTTGAGGATCCATTCAAAGTTCTTGACATTTTCCGGATCGACTGGCCTTCATTTATTAAAGTAATGATGGACGGTCGTTTCCCTTTACTGAGTTGAATCGTTCTTGCCATAATATGGATTACAACAGTAGTCAAATAGGGCTTTCCACTGTGCACTAACCCTACCTCTGCACAACACAACTGATGGTCTCAAACACATTAAGAAGGCAAGTGTTTCCAAAAAGGCACACGTGTTAATTGAAAACCATTCCAGGTGCCGACCTCATGAAGCTGACTGAGAGAAGCCAAGAGTGTGCAAAGCTGTCATCAAGGCAAAAGGGGGCTACTTTGAAGAATCTAAAATATATAGGTCACCCACGTAATGAGCCCACTTACCTTCAGAAGATTCTTTCAAGTGTACCCAGGAAGGAGAAGCCTTATGTCGTCACACTTTGTCGGTAATTTAACTGACACAGCTGTCCCACTGCAGAAAATTAGATAGTAACATTTGTTTGCGTTTCCATCTTTAAAATATAATTCAAGAGAAGGATGTATCTGTTTATATCTGCCAAATATCAAAAGTGACTAGTACTTTTAACATCATTTCCAACTTTCCTTTTTTAATGGTTGGTGAAATGCAGTTTTCTATCTGCATTCAAATGTGCTTAAAAACAAAACAAATACTGAGGTTGAACATGCAGTCAAGATAAAGTAGAAGCTCTTGGAGGAATGACTAAATAGGATGCACAGCGTTTCAAACTAAATCAAATCATTCCAAAAGCCAAGTTACACAACAGGTATCTGACATTTGTGGGCGTGCCAGTAGGCAATGGTTCATGACGAGCCACTGATATCGATTACTGGACAATATGTTATTCTGAGGCAACACAAAATAATGAGGTACCATTCCCATGTAATAAGAAGAAAGCTAAACATGAATCTGGTTGGAGAAAAAGAAAGAAAGAAAGACATTTGTTCTCTGACTCTCGTTTTTTCAAACGGCCGATCACACAATTGTCACTTTTAAAAGTGAATACAGAAGGCATTGTCTTGTCAAATTGTAGACTTGACCAAATAAGCTTCTAAAAATATAGCTGTCGACCAAAGCACACTTTTCTATTAGCAATATGTTGCTTACTTAGATCCCATTGTGATAGAAAGAGCAAATGGTTCCCTTTTAAATTGAATAAATGTGAAAATGTAACCTTGAATGTATTCATAGTTTTACTTTGGTAGGCTATTAATTGTACCTGGGAATGTGTAACCATCATTGTCTGATTGAAGGAAACGATGTGTCCTAATTCTATAAAAAGGAAAGAACACACCTTTGCTCATGAAGCCATCTGAGGTGGGTTTCATGAAGTTTTTGATATCATTTATTGTAAACTGAATCCTCATTTCCAAGAAACCACATGATCAATGAACTGTCTAAAGCTCAAGGCTCAGGGTCTATTGAAGGAGAAAACACTGAGGCTGGAAACATTAATACTCTTCAGTGTACCTTCATCAGCATTCTTTAACGGGTACTGTAATGATTTATCAGACTAGAAGCCTGATAACAGTATTATAAAAAACAGAGTGGTGAAACCCTGATAAACCATCTTTTCTATGCAACGATCTGTCTGCTCTATCAGCGCTGGTTTCCAAGTACGGGGTCAAAAATTATTTGCAATTCAACATTCAGAAGAGTCTTGTCATGATATAGAGGCAAAGGGGATAAGGACCTCAACTTTCCAGATCTTTATCCATCATGGTAAGAGCTATTTGTTTGTAATAAAACAATAATCTGGTCATCTTAATTATGTGTGATGACGGATCAAATACAGTAACTGCTGTATATTATATGCTCCTACTAACATAATGGCAACTTACTTATTTTATTCATTAACTATTAATTTGTCAAAACAAGCTTATGCAAATATATATTTACGCTATAGCACAGATTTTTGGAACTGTAGACAGAATCTTCATTTCCAAGAAACCACATGATCAATATGCTGTCTAAAGCTCTATTGAAGAGAAAAACATCAGTAATCAATATCATCAATATCAGCACTGAGTGTACTTTCATTAGCCCTCTTCAACGTGTACACACATGATTCATCTAACCAACTATGAGGCTGATGAACATTAAAATGATAGAAAGCAGAGTTATCATAAACCGTCTTTTGTATGCAGACGATCTGGATACTCATTCAGTGCTGGTTCCCAAGTATAGGGTCGAATATGATTTGCAAAATTATGTTTAAAGTGGATGCTTTATCATGCTATATTTGAATAATATAGTGTAGGACCATACCTATATAAGGCATATTTATACTTTTTTTTTTTTTAAATACCAAACAGATCATGCATTTTAGCCATGCCTCATTTTGCTCAATTTCACATTTTTTATCCCTGTTTTTGCAAGGGCAGATTCAGTGAGAACAGCACCATCTACAGGCCTGGCATATGTACTACAGCGTCTCCAGTGCTTTCGAACGGCAGTGGCTGTCTCCTCCTGATTGGTGGAGTTGGCCCAATAGCCGTAGCGCCACCGTCCTGACGTCAGGACAGTGTTCAAATCTGGATCAGTTTTTATCAGATCCGTTGCAGCCCCTTTTTTAGAGATTTGGGTATGGAGGAAAATAGAGAGGGTTGTGTTTTCTGACACTTGGTGAGTTCCCTGGAACACCGGGGACACATATTCATGTGTAAAAGACGTACAAAAGTGCATTTTGCATGATAGGTCCCCTTTAAAAGAGTTTCATCATGATATGTAAACAAGACGATAAGGACCTTAACTTTCCAGATTTGCATTTATCAGTCAGAATTGCTGGAACGTCAAATTGAAAATGTAACCTTGAATTGGTATTTAATTTGATCTAAAAAAAAGTGTAATAAACATTGTGTGATTGTTCTAATTCTGAAAAAAAGAATGAAGCCATCTAAAGGGTTTTAAACTAAATGTAATGTAATTGACTGTAATCTTTGTTTTCAAAAACCACGTGATCCATCAACTGTCCAAAACATATTTGAAAGTAGCTTTACCTAGCAGCATAAAAGGATCAGTCTGCAGCATTGCAGGATAAACCATTAAAGCTGTAAAACATTATCACTTTTGATTATAGTGTGAACTAGATAATCCTTTACGGGGAAATAAAAGAGAGAGAGTCACTACGCACTTGAGTTGCCAGAGAAGTGCAGAGCTTTCTTCTCAGGACTAAAACTTAACCTATAAAAAACTATTGCATATACAATAGATAAAAACTCCAGGATAAAAGAAGAGATACCATGGTTGATCTGAAAAGGTAGGTGACACATTCTTTTGTCAGTGATTGTATTTTGATGCAACATACAGTAAGTGTTGGAGTGGATGGTGTTACTGAGTTTAATTTGATAACTTTCAGTGAGAAGCTGTATGAATAATGTGGAGGGAGAGCCATGGCTGAAAGAGTATCTACAATGGAGAGCCCTGGTGAAGAGGTAAACGGTTAGATATCAGCTACTGTGAATATGGTATCAGTAGATACATTTCAAATCTAAACATATTTTTCTCATATTATGGATCAGTTTCCTTTGTTCAAGAAAAGAGAAACTTTGTTAATCCCCACAGGGAAATCCAGGTGTCCTAGCACAGTGCTGTTCTGTGCTGAGCGGTTGTTGCCTGAGCAATAGGAAATTAGAGAACACTCCAGCAGCACCACAGTCCAACTGTAAGTATGACTGTCAATGTCTGATCCAATGTAATGACTTCATATTTGCTGTAATGTAAAGATACTGAGATGCACTTTTCTAATCTTATGACAGATCCTCCACCTCCACCTCCACCTCCACCAATAACTATTGTAAATACTAACCAGCAGTCTTTCATTTCACCACCTGATATCCCTCCTGCTGCGCCCAGCACTGTGAATGGTAGCACAGGTACATCTAAAACAAATCCATAAAAAGCAAACGTGGATAATTCCCTCAAAATGTATACTCCTTACACTGAGGGACACTGTTGATGTATGTAATGAATATTAGTTTTAGACAAATTAAGTCCATGTTGTTATTTTATGTAGCTTTCTCTGTTACCACACTATTTTACTGCAGTTAAGCAGCACTTTAGAATGCTGACAAACTTTGACAGAATATGAATGTTCAGTTTCAGTGAAACCTTTATATGTTCCCACAGAGCCCAGCCCTCCTGTGCAGATTACAGTCGACCAGGTCAGCAGCGAGTCACTGTCTCTGCATTGGGACCCCCCTGCTCGTGAAGTGGAGAGTTACATTGTGACTTGTTGCAGTGAGGGAGACATTATGAAAGAGACAACTGACACAAACAAGATGACATTCAGCAACCTGAAGCCAGGGGAGTGTTACTTTCTACAGGTTTCTACAAAACTTCGGAATGGAAGAATAAGCAGGCCAACTGTAACATCTGCCAACACAAGTAAGTCAAATAAAATCATTATTGCATGGTTGATAAAGACAATGTCAAAGATGTTGACCCAAAGATGAAGATTGGAATTGAGCAGATGGCTTTGAGTGAACATGCTTCTGGGTTAATAAAGACCTTTCAGAGTTTGGAGACTGCCGAGAAAAATGCAGATTACATTGTGGTGGGCATTTCAATTCCCTTAAGAGAAACTGATAAATGATTAATAAACAAGTTTGTCTTTTGTTATATTTAATAAAGTAATAAAGAAAGTCAGATACAATTGAAATCGATCTAAAATGCAGGAACTGAGCAACTTCATCCTCAGAGGATAAAGAAGTTCTGCAAAAGTTGAATAGCAGCTAAAAAAAGGAGACATGAAATAATCAAAAAGTAAAGCATACATTAGTAATCAAATAGAAATAAAGACAAATAAGTACACAACCATAGCTCAGAAATGAGAAGCAGCAATTTGAGTAAGCTAAGTGACATAGATGGCATTGAGGTGTTGTGACCTTAAAAGAATATAAGTTGGGACATTTATAAAAATAAGTATTTTCTACATTCAAGTGATTATAGCGCCGTACAAATGGCAGATAGTGTTTATATCTCACATTGCAGGTTTGTTGCACAGGATTGCAAGAGGTAAATCAAAAACAAATCCTTAAAAAGCAAACGTGAATAATTTCCTCAAAATGTAAACTCCTGAGGGACACTGTTGATGTACGTAATAAATGTTAGTTTTAGACAAATTAAGTCCATTGTAGGAGCCATTTTATGGGTGTTGTTGGTGTCTCAGTTTACTTTATTTATATTTATACTGCAATATTATTTTGGACACTTGGTGGCGGGGGTTAGCTGCAGGTTATACTGGGTGTATGAAAAGGGTCATAGGTGACAGGAAAGGACGAGGACACAGGAGGAAAGAGCATACCGATTCCACCAGCCCGGCAGATGCTCACCACAACTATTGCATGTATAATTAAACCTTGGTATGTAGAACGCTAAATAAAACATCATTCTAAACTGCAGCAAAAGACCGGAAAATCATCGGTTTGTGTCTGCGTCTGGATCACTCTCTAGCCCTCCTGTGAAGTAATGGCAAAAGAATATAGGACATTGGAACACTAAAATTGCCATTACATCCATGTTGTTATTTTATTTAGCTTTCTCTTTTACCACACTGTTTTACTTAGCAGTCAAGCAGCACTTTAAAATGCTGACAAACAGAACGGGAATTTTCCGTTTCAGTGAAACCTTTATATGTTCCCACAGAGCCTACCCCTCCTGTGCAGGTTACAGTCGATCAGGTCAGCAGGGAGTCATCACCTCGGGACACAATAAGCAAGCCTACTAAAACCTCTGCCCAGACAGGTAAGTCAAATGAAATCATTATTGCATATGGCTGCAGACAACGTCAAAGGTTTGTATAAAGAAATCAGTAATGTAATGGGAACTCAAACATAAATATTGGAATTGGACAGATGGCTTTATTTGCACATGCTTCTGGGTTGATGTACTCTTCAGAAGAAGAAGTCCAGATTCCATCCCTGCAGTATTTATCTTTGAATACAAGAAAGTTACCAATTTCTTCTTCTGAAAGACACCCGTTTGGCTGTTTCTATAGATCCTGCCTCACAACATGCTAACAAATTTGACTTTTTACATACGCTATGTTACTTTTAGCAAGTTCTTATTAAAAAATACAAATATATAAATCAACTACTGAATTATGATGTATTGTCATTGATTAGCTGAAAGTAAAACAGTAATAAAAGTGAGCTTCACCTTTACCAGCTGCAACATTTAAATTGTGACCACATTAATAGATTACTAATTACAATATATATTATTCTAAAATTGTTAAAAGCTTTTAGTTTTGGTACACACATCTCTACTTTAATTTCTACACTTTGGTATCAATATTTATTGAGTACTTTTTTCAACACTGTTAAAAAGTATAATGAAATGCATAATAGTTAAGTCAGGATAAGAACAACTGAACCTTTTATGGGTCTAGAGCAGGGCTATTCAATTGGCGGCCCCGGGGTGATATTTACTGGCCCTTTGAGTATAATGTTAAAAAGTAATCAACTTTTTTTTTTAAGATTTTTTTTTTTTTTTTTTTTTGTGCCATAGTGCCTTTATTCCAGAGAGGGTGTTACATTGAGAGATAGAGGGGTAGACAATGCCTGAAAACTTCGACGGGCTCGGGTTTCGAACCCACCTACTATACTAGTGACAACTCCTGTCATTGATTGCATCTCTGCGTGAATGATTAGATCATTTCACCTAAATGAAATCAAATGAAACATGTAGGCCTACTGAGTTCTGAACTTGCCATTTAGATCTATAAAGGCCTTGGGGCTATGTTGTTTGATTGAATTAAACACAATATATGCACTCCACTATGCTGTTGTAGTATTTACTGTATCTGAAGCTCTTAAATATGATTGCTCATATTTCAAGCCATCTTTTTCCCGGCCCCTTGCTTTGGATCATTTTCATCAACCGGCCCCCATTCCAAACTAATTGAATAGCCCTGGTCTAGAGCATAAGTATGTATACAGTTTATACAGTTTATACGGTTTAACCCTCCCCAGGATATGCTGCTGTTAGGTAATATTATTGATGACAGCACCCTTTTTGAGTTTCATTCAATTATCACCTATGAATAATGCCAATGTCCAATTCAGTGCCAGGAGGATTTTCATCAACCTGCCGTATTCTGATCCAAAGAAATGTCTCTATCCACCTCTTCAAGGTCCTTTAACCAACAATTCATTATATGCTGCGATTAGACAAGCAGTTTACTGACTGACTGAATGACCAACGTAGTCATAGTTTTAGCAATTGATAAATATTAAAATATATTTTGATCCATGCTTAGGGTTGGTGGAATAACGGATAATGTTTTTAGTATGATTCTCTTTCATTTTCTACAGAGCCACACCTTGAGAGTTTTTTGGAGGAACTGGGGTTGGATCACCACTACAAAGAGAAGCTATCCCTAAGCACACTTCTAAGGATTGACAAGAAGACCATTACTGATGAACCTGCCAAGTGTAATTCAGATCTTCCATGGTATTTTCTGAAGAAACTAATGATCGTTAACGTGACAGCTAGGAATGTAAAATGTACACCTTCACATGAATCAGACTTGGATGATCACTTAGATCTTGATCATCTCGATGAAAGTACACATTCAGGTGACACACTGAATCCCCTTGATATTATCACAGCTCTCTTCCTGTGCTCTGATGGTTTTGTACAGCAGGAAATGGCCCTCAAAATGTCCATGTGTCAGTTTTCCGTGCCTCTGTTGCTTCCCAACTGTGACACAAAGCAGTGCACACTCATGCTTTGGGCCATGAGAGACATTGTTAAAAAGTACAGACCTCAGTCACTTTCAGAGTCCAGGGGATTTATTGAAGAGAGAATTGTTGTCTCTGAACTTCCAATGATATCTTTTGTGAGACTGGGTGAGTGCTCCTTGTCCAAGTCAGAGATCCTCAATAAGCTTCTGAGCAATTCTCAGCAGTACCATGAGACCTTTGTTCACTCCAACATGGAGGGTGGTGACAGTCCAAGGAGAATATCCAATGGATTGGTTGAAATGACTTGGTACCTCCCTTGTGGGAACAAAAACATGGATGTCTTCAGCGAGCCAGTTGCTGTAGCTAACCTTCGTGGGGACATTGCTTCATTTGAAACACAATTTGCTTTCTTGTGTCAGACATCTGCAGCAGTTTTTGTGTTCTTTGATGCTTTGGACTCTGAGTGTGAGCTGCTAACCAACCAAAACCACAAGGCCCAGATCTTCTTGGTGGGTAACCGTCAAAGCAAAGATTTCAAATTAGATGCTGTAAAAAAGGTATCAACCAAGTTAAGCTTAAAAAAGAGCAACATCATTTTGAAAGAAAAGCACATAAACGATGCAAAATTTGTCAAAGATTTGCGTGAAACAGTCAGCAATGTAATTGAAAACACAAAGGTGAAGATGGGAATTGAGAAGATGGCTGACGTTGCCCATGAACATGGAATCTGTGTTGATGAAGACTCTCCAGAGTGCCAGACTGCCAAGAAAAATGCAGATACCATCACTGCAGAAATTCAAGACATTCTTAAATACAAAGAAGTTCAGCTTCCCTTGCAAGGCCAAATATGGAAGGAGCTTACTTGCTTAGAGAAGGAAGAATTGCGACTTAAGAATGTTGGGTCTGAAAATATAGAAAAGTACAAAAGTGATCTTCAGCTACAAAAAAAACGTCTTCGGGAAAAACAGAACTCTCATTCCATGTCGACGGCAATGACATGTTTCATCTGTGCAATATCAAGCCCAGGGGTTGAGAAGAAGGAGAAGGAGGAGAAGGAGAAGAAGGAGAAGAAGAAGGAGAAGGAGGAGGCGAAGAAGAAGGAGGAGAAGAAGAAGGAGGAGAAGAAGAAGAAGAAGAAGAAGATAGAGAGGTTATATTTCCTGAAATGGATGCGAATGAAACTCGATAACGTGTCTCGGGAAAAACTCTTTGACCTCAGGGAGCAGTACAAAGAAAAACGCAAAAACCCTGAGAACAAAGAGGAGATCAAGAAAATAGACCAACAGCTCATTAGGGACTGAACACTTCTTCCGTGAAATGGGGCAGATCTATGAAGCTTCCCTTTCCCTTCCTGAAACAGACCCAGCACGTCAACAACTACAGCATCTCCCCAAGCTATGTGCTGAGTTAATGCTTGATGGATTTCCACTTGAGCTTGTAGATGGAGAAGCATCCAACATACCTCTCAGATGGGTGACTGACGTTCTCTCTCAGCTCAATGACTTGGTGTCTCCTAAGAACAAGATCCTGGTAGTCACAGTTCTTGGAGTTCAGAGCACAGGAAAGTCCACTCTCCTCAACACCATGTTTGGAGTGCAGTTTGCAGTCAGCAGTGGTCGATGCACTCGAGGGGCCTTTATGTTGCTGATTCAAATCAATGAAGATGTCAGAAAAGACTTCAACTGTGACTTCATGGTGATCATTGATACTGAGGGCTTAAAGTCACCAGAGCTCGCACAACTGGACAATAGCCACGAGCATGACAATGAGCTTGCAACACTTGTTGTGGGGCTGAGTGATATCACCATCATCAATGTTGCAATGGAGAATTCAACAGAAATGAAGGACATCCTACAGATAGTTGTACACGCTTTCCTCAGGATGAAAGAGGAGGGCAAAAAGAAGCCCAAATGTCAGTTTGTTCACCAGAATGTGTCCGATGTTTCAGCCCATGACAAGAACCTGCGAGACAGGGAACTGCTCCTGCAGCAGTTAAACGAGATGACCCAGGCAGCAGCCAAAATGGAAAAGAAAAAGGAGAACCCGAGCTTCACTGATGTGATGGAGTACAGTCCAGACACTGGAAACTGGTACATTCCTGGACTCTGGAATGGAAACCCACCGATGGCACCAGTCAATGCAGGCTACAGCGAGGCTGTCTATGAGCTCAAGAAGAACATAATCACCATTTTGGGAAGTTGTGGATCATCAGCTAATAATATCTTGGAGTTTACAGAGTGGATGAAGAGCCTGTGGACTGCAGTAAAACATGAAAACTTCATCTTCAGTTTCAGAAACAGTCTCGTGGCTGATGCATACATGAGGCTATGCACAGAATTCAACAGATGGGAATGGGACTTCAAAAAAAAAATGTTCACATTGGTTACACAAGCTGAAACAATAATCTCCAATTTTGGTACAGCTGCTGATAAATATAACAAATCTGACATGAGAGAACTTGTCGAGCTATTGAAAAATGAATATTTGACTGAGCTGTCTGAATGGGAAACAAAGCTTCTGGAAAATCTGGACCAGTACTTCAAGCAAACAGAGGGTCATGTCTATCTTGTTGGAAGGATACAGAGAGGAATTTAAAAACAGTGCTAAGAGCCTTCGACGAGAAATGGAAAGCTCTGTGTTTAATCAACTCACAGCAGCAGCCGCCATCAGACAGGGGATGACAGAACTTGATAAAATCAAGGAGGACCACACAAAGGACTTAGAGGGCAGAGTTTGTGCATTGATTGAAGAATGTAGGAAGAAAAAAGTCAAGATGACAGAGAAAGAGCTGAACAAAGAATTTGACAAGATGTGGACTGAAACAGTGAAGGAACTAACCTTTAAAGAAATGAAGGTTGATGACATTTTCACCAGTGTGTCTCACCGCCTGAGAACAAATCTATCAACCAAGGGAGGTCATGCAAGTGATTTGTTAAGTCAAAAAAGCCTGAAAGAATGTGGACAGGGGCCTTTTAAATATAAAGTTGAAGGACTCTTAAATAAAGGTGTAGACACATTTAAACAGTGGTTTAACATGCCAGGTAATGCAAAGGCTGTACAACAAACAGCTGACAGCATCATTACAGTTTGCTCACAGATGGTGAGTGAAAAAATGAAAAGAAAGAGTAATTACCATGATACCTACATCGATGAGATTTTAAAAAAGATTGATGAGAGGCTGGAAAACAATCAGGAATCAGACATCACTTTTGAAGTCTCTCTGAAACAGCACATCTGTGGAGACGCAGCCAGAAGGTTTCAGAAAATGCATGAAGATTTCATCCAAAAGAAGGATCCCTACATATGTCTGAATGAAAACAAAGGAAAGTTTCTTGCTGATTTTAAAGATGTGTTCCATAATGTAGACCAGTGCCAGAAGAAGGCAGAAGAATTCACAAACCGATGCTTGAAGCCTGCAGTCGAACACTTTGTCAACCGTTCCCTGGGTCCTGATATCATTGGTGAAATGAGGACAAGTGAGGAGTTCAGCACAAGAATGTCCTTCCAGTATTCACTTTTACTGGAACTGCTCTCAGAGGATGACTTTAAAAAGTACCAGAGCTTTATTTGTTCCTATGAGAAATATGTAAAGAAATGGATACTCAACAAAATATTGGAACGCTTCTCAGATGGGTCTACGATGTTTGAGGAACAACATCTCCAGTCATGTGTCAACAGAATAAATAATGCTATCCAGAAAGCTAAAACAGAAAAGAGTGGCAACGTAAAGTCATTTGTTGAAGATGTCTGTCAGGAACTTGGTAACAAACTGGTCATTTCCCAGGGTGCTCTTGGGGCATTCATGACCCTGAACAATGCCAACCAGGAACAGTTTGCTCACAGGCTCACTGAGTGTGTGAAGGAGATGGCACAAACTCTTAGAGAGAAGTTTAAGAAAACAAACATCCAAACTAAACTACAGAGCCTTCATGTGAATCCTCAGAACGAGCTTTTCAACACACTGATTGGCTGTGGTAAACAGTGTCCGTTCTGCAAAGCGCCCTGTGAGGCAGGAGCAACAGCCCACACTGAGCACTTCACTTCACTTCATCGACCAGAGGGTCTGGGTCAATGCAGATGGAGTAATACAGAAAAACTTTGCATTGACATATGCTCTTCCCTAGTAAACAGTGACATTTCTTTTCACTGCAGTGCTACACCCTTACAAGCGCTACAAAGAAATCTATCCGGACTGGAAAATCCCACCAGATGCAAGCCTCCAGGCATCAGACTACTGGAAATATGTACTGGCAAAGTTCAATGATCAGTTTGCAGCAGCATTCAAGGCAAAGCCTGCTGATATTCCCTTAGCTTGGAAACTTATCACACCTGAGCAAGCAGAGGCAAGCCTCAAAGAGTCATTTCATATCTAATGAGAAACGACAAGCTTTGTGCTCACAGAGGGTCCCGTCCTCCTCATTACAGTCATCATCCTCTCATGGACATTTAGAGTACACTTGATTTTTATGAAGAAGCACAAAAAGTAACATGCTGTTTATGAGATGGCAAGGTTGATCATATATTTCAACAACAACTTACAAGGAATTTGTAAACATTTCAGTTTGATTTACAGACTTTAAATGCTTCTTTTTTTGGTTGTTATTGTAGTATCAATTAATCAAATTCGATTTGATTGAGTGTTTTTATTTCCTTAAAGTAACTGATGCACAGATATTTGTTTTTATGTTTTTCTGTGGTTTTGTCATAAACACATTAACAATTGTAATGTTTTAAAATATCATTCAGTCTTTATGTCAACATCAAGATTATACAATGTCTTTATTTTTATTTCAAATAAGTATCTGGTTCTTATTATTTACATTTTTATTGACACATTTATAATTGTTGTCTTTTCATTTCTCAGCTGCATCAAAAGCCACACATTTAGATGTTTAAATCAGTGAATGAATCATTGTGTTTTAGTGGTGGTACAGTCAACATGTAAACATGACAGAAAGTCTGTTGTAATCAAGTTCAGTTTGACATGTGACCGTTTCCCAGAGAGTTAGAATCTATTCTTATTTTGTTTCATTTATATATTTACATTTTCAATGTTTAACATATCATTCAATCTAAATGTCAACATGTAGATTACACATTAATTTTGTTCTTACCTTATTGAGTGCTATATGGCATTGCCTTACCAAAAACCTGAAAGTCTTTCTTTGTATTCCAATTAAGTATTTAGCTCCAAATATTTACATTTTGATGTTCATGTTATAATATTTACTCAAAATGTATTATGTTAGTTTTCATTTTCAAATGCCACATTTTTAACATTTTTAGATCAATTAAAGGATCATTTAGTTCATATTCAGCATGTCAACATGTAAACATGACAACAAGTTTGAATCAAGTTAAGGATGATATAAAGATGGTATTGTTTTTGTAAATATTTATTTTGTTGCATTTTGTATGTTTTAAAGATATTCTTGTCTAAATGTCAACATGTCTGTTATCCTTCAGGTTGTTTTTATTACCTAATCCAGTATGACATTTAAATGTCTTTGTTCAAAATCTATAACCACTTTTTTTCTGTCATTTAAGAATCTGATATCACATATTTACATGTATTACTCACTTAAAAGATCATTCAATATAAAAGTGCTACTGTCAACAAGTAACAGCATCATATATGATCTTTCTTTTACTCAGATCTTCTAATCTTTTGTTTCTGTGAAGTATCTCATTCTTTATATTTACGTAATAAAAAATATTATTCATTGCTTTATAATGTTAACATGTATACTTACTACTGTTTACTATTTCAATAAAGAGACCACATCTGCAGACTGGCCATGAATGTTTCCCAGATCAGAATCACAGCATACTTTTTTTTTAATAATCATCTTTTTTTCCGATTCCATTATTTAAAATGTTTTCTTCATTTCAAGTCTTGGGTTTCTGAATTCAACAAAGAATGTAACAACAAGACAACAGGTGCAACTCCGCAATGAATCGTGTGTGTGTGTGTTTGTGTGTGTGTGTGTGCGCAGAGAGTCTGTGGTGGTGCCGCCAAACGACCCGACCCGTCTTGTAACACGGAGCCCGTTTCCTAAACCATGCTAAATGTATGTGTGTGCATAAAGCTGAGTTATGATCGGTCATAATTAAAGAGTTTACAGTGAGATTTACTCACATACTTTTGGCCTTACTCGCGCAGCCTACAAATGAACTGAGATTTCCACACAAATATTCTTTAGCAAGTGTGCAGAGCAATTTGGATTTAAAATAGCAATTTGAAGGTTGGATATTTGTAAAACAAAAAGTGTGTGCCTTAATAATTTAAGATGTAAATTAATGCCAGTTTATTTGTTGTACTTTTTATTTTTATTGTGTAATTTGGTGACACCAACGTGTGCATTTGACACAGATAATGGAGCAGTTGCTTTAGGGCCTCTCATATACAGTATAGCCCTTAAGGTCAAATAACGAGATCCTCGACCCCCCAACATATCAAATCCCCAATTTAACCCCTGTGTGTGTGTGTGTGTGTGTGTGTGTGTGTGTGTGTGTGTGTGTGTGTGTGTGTGTGTGTGTGTGTGTGTGTGTGTGTGTGTGTGTGTGTGTGTGTGTGTGTGTGTGTGTGTGTCACTGTCTTTACCGTGGGCCACATGAAGTCATTTTGGTTTGCTTGGCTGACTGCAGTTTGCTGAGGCTAGGTGTGTCCACACACATCCAGTCTGATCCACGGCTAATCACAGGTTCAGACTCTGAAAGTGAGAGACATTCAGATTAACTTAAAGTTGAATTCAAACTGTTAACAAGAAACTAGAAGTAAAGAATGTTTTTAAGGATGTGTGTGCATGTTTTGCTTTCTCGTGTTTTGTGTTGATTTGTCCCATAACTGTATATTTTGCTAATTAAAAACACATGATTACATTTGGATAAAGAAAGTATAGATGGAAACACAACAAGGGGAAGTCGGTCCATGTCATTCATTATCTTCATCTTCAGGTCAGCGGAGTTGACAATAATGAATAAATGACTGACCTGTATTCCACCCTGAGCATTCTTTTAACAGTGTTAAAGATACATTCAGCCAGTTATATAATTTTTCAAGAAATCAATCACATGGTCTTACTGAAAATTGTCCTTTACCTATTCATTCTGAACATGGACCCCAGCAGACTATTGACATCTAGTGGACATGAATTGCAACAACACCTACTTTAAACTCAGGATTTCTCTTTCTAATTGTTATTTTTTTAAACATAAAGACATTTAACCTTAAACATTTCTTAATTGGACCTGACAATTAAAGACAATTGTTAATTTACTGTTAGCACTGTCATTATTTTAAAGTAAATAATTTAATTTAAAACTTAACCGTAGCCTCAAGACATGCAAAGTGAATTAAGAAGAGCAACTATCTGCAATTGACAATAACTTAATATGTTTAACTACAGTTGTCCCAATTGAAGCTCCCGTCACAGTGTACTGACTGATTCTGCAGTCCATTGCTGCTGTCACCATCAAACATCTCCACACACAGACAACACAATCATATCTGTCTACTGATTTATCAGGAAAACTCACAAGGTTTATCCCAATATCCATCCTCAACTTGACCCGGAAATCGATTGTCGAAGGACGTCATGATTCCTTAAATGCGTGCGGAGGAGTCGAGGAGGGAGGAGGCTTCCAGAAGAGAGGGGCGCGAGGAAACACGAGTGCAGGCTATGCGGAAGCGTTATTGCTACATGCGCATCAAAGCTCCGCCCACAGATCCAGAGCCGTGTGCATCGTGCGGCATGTATAAATGTTTGATATAATCAAAGTATTCGTCAATCATTTATTTTTTGCATATTTAATGTTTTAAAGATATTTCAGTCTAAATGTCAACATGTAGGTTATCCTTTAGTTTGATATGTAATTGTATTTGCTCAAATTCTATAAAGGCTTTGTTTTTTTCTTCAACTAAGTGTAACACTTCTTATCTTGGGCTATATGCTATCTGACTAGAAAGATTCTGAGATCTACTAGAGTGGATAGACAGGTAAGTAATTAGACCAGAGACCAGGTGGTTTGAATAGAACAGCCGGCAATTTACTGATGAAATAGACAAATAGACAAAACATTAAACATAGACAATGAATATCTTTCCACCTTTCCCTTGTTTTCTGATTTCTGTGACTTAGTAAATGGTATGGATAAATACATTTTAGTTTAGACCGGTCTACTAAGTATTATTTATAGGTTGTTCCTATTTTAATCTAGTTAACTATTTTTCTTTTCCCTTTTCACAGGTAAAATATATCTAATTAAATGAAAAAACACAATTGTACCATCAATGAAATCATATGACAAATGAAAACCTAGAGTACAATATATAGTGTCTCTTTCAATCCAGGTACAACTTAAGTCCAGTTCCAACCTTATCATTTCTTCAGTTCTGATCAAATAAAATAAACTCCAATACTCCTACCACTCTGGCAGCGAGTTCACCTATTAGGCGCTTTCACACCGCAGTACTTTCCCCACAAAGGTTCGTCAGAACTTAGTTCATGAGAACTCTTTAGTTCTCATGAACTAAGTACAGATCGCGTTCACACCGGAATAAGTCCCTGGGGGAGGATTAGGCAAATAAAGCCGCTGACGTCACTTCTTCTTCTTCTGCTTTGGAAGCCGCAAACAACTTCACGGCGTATACTGCCACCCGAAGTCCCCGGCCGGAAGTCCCCGGAGTTGGGGACTGGCTTCAGTAGAAGCTGCTGGGACTCCCAGCAGCTTCTACTGAAGCCTTCCGAGTAAATCGCCAGAACGCCGACACCTCCTCATCTCCACCGCTCCCATGTTTTCTTTTGTGTTGCCATAAGTTAGTCTCTCTGCGTTTGTGCGCTGGGCTAATGTTAATGCTAATAATGCTAATGCGAGGATAATAAAATGGCGGCTTCACAAAACTTTTTGGGAGTTTTACGGGGCGTGGTTTGCAACCCGCCCAGCCAATCAGACATAGGAACCCTTTTCTCCCACGAAAGTACCTGGCTGCTCTCTAGCAGGGACGGAGGGGGTAAAAAGGTTCTCATTAACTAATTTTAGTTCCGGCTCTTTTTGGTGTGAACGCGACATTTCGGAACTATATCGGAACTAAAGTGAGAAAAGTACTGTGGTGTGAACGCGCCTAATAGGCCTAAAAGTACTTTTCCCACAATAGTTCATGAGAACTTTAGTTCATGAGAGCTCTTTTAGTTCTGATGAACTAAAGCAGATTGCGTTCACACCAAAATGAGTTCCTGGGGGTGGATTAGGCAAATGAACCGCTGACGTCACTTCTTCTTCTGCTTTGGGTTTACTGGCAGGCCGCAAACAACTTCACGGCGAGTACAGTAGGTGGCGGTATGCACCTTAAAGTTGCAATCCGCAAAAAAACGAGAGAAAAAGAAGAAGAAAAACCTCCCGCGCCCACTTGCTGTAAATGAGGCGTCTGTTTACCTTCCGACCTCAGACATGAGCTTCACCTGAGTTATTTAAGCAAACACAAATACAGATCGTCGACCAGTCAAATGCAATAGTATTAGAAGTATTCGATGTTCTCGCGCCCAGGAGAGGAGCTTAGAATGAAGAGACTAATGGAGTCTCCGAAAAGGTTCAAATTGGTGAGTTTAATTAAATGGCACGATGATACAACAAGCAGAGGGTAAAGGAAAAGACAAAGCCGGTGTTGT